CCCCCTCACGCCTCCTCCTCAAAACAACCATGTCCCGGGTTAAGATAGAAAATAAAGTTTTTGGCTGCGACTTCGACCACAAAAAGAAAGGAAGATGGCTGCGAATCACAGAAAAGCATCTTACCAGGTTCTTTGTCCTTTCAGTAGAAGAAATAGTAGGTGTCTGGATCATAGACATGATAGATGATCTCCTTCTTACTCCGAACACTCAGAAATTCTTCCAGAAAACTGACTGCAACGAAGTTTTCATTTGGATCCAAAAAACCTTAAACAAAAAAGGAAGTTTCCTTGAAATCACTAGAGTTCAGATTGGAGGTGGCAAAAGGAACATTGTGGTCTCAGCTGACTCTGCTCACAAGGGCTGGAGAGCTTTCAAGGATCTCCTCCTAGACTTCCTAAACGGCAAGAAAGATAGTCCTCGGCCTGACTTTCACCAAGCTCCTCAACAGCCTAAACAGAGTCGTTCTTTTGTCGAAATCCTAAAGCAGAAAAAAGATAACTCACAGGAGGCAAGATTGTTAACCGCCGCCCCCACAAACCTTCCCAAAGACAGCCCGTCTCCAGCACAAAGACGGGAAGTAAGAGCTCTAATTTGGCGGGATACTCTAGTGCTCACCCGTCGCGATTTCCACGATGATTGGAAAGGATTCGTGGTTTTATACAAGAACAGACTGAAGAAACATTTCTCATAAACCCTTTCCAACTGAACAAAGCCCTCCTTAAATGCCCCACTGAGGAACTAGCAACTTTATTATCCAGTAATAGAGGGTGGGTTACGTTTGGTCCAATCACAGCGAAGTTAGAGAGATGGGACCCGTTGAAACATGGAAAAATAAATGCGATCCAATCCTATGGAGGGTGGATTCACTTTAGAAATATTCCTCTTCATTTATGGAGTCTTACAACCTTTAAAGCCATAGGAGACTGATTTGGAGGCTTCATTGACTATGCAGACCAAAACTCCAGCCTTATTGACTGTGCAGAGGTCGCCATCCAAGTTCAGATTTTGGACGGAGATAGAATCTTTATGGCCCAAGTCGCGACTTTTCAAGATAGCCGTCATCTGATCGGAAAGTCCGCCGATATCCATGGAAGCTTCAACCCAGAGGCAGCAAAACGATTCTACGAGGGAGGCAAAGAGGGACCAGGTCTTTATCCTCTGGATATTTGGCGCTTAGAAGGTGCTTTGCTTTGTCCAACGGTAACTATACACTACCCCTCACCTCTTTTTTGTCATGAGGAACAAAAAGCCCTTCAACTTTGGGAAGGGGGAAATACCTCTTTCGGTGAAAGAAATTGTCAGCCCTCGAGCCACGCGATTCCAACCTTAACGGAAGAGGGGCACACCCTTGGGTTTCGTAAAAAGGAAAAGAAAGCTGACAAAGTGGACAAAAAAGACAATAAAGAAGAAAGAAAAGGGGTCTCTTTTAAGAAGGATAATCAGATTAGACACTTTGACAAGAAAGGAAAGGTGTGTTCCACCTCCGGTAATCCTTCGAATAGCTCTCCTTGGAAACAGAAACAAAAATAGAAGCTAGAATCGGATAAAGATTTTGAAGTGGGATCGGTTTTCTCCTTTTCTAGCTTAGATATCCCCCTCTCCAAGGCAGAGATCGGAAAAAATCCAAAGGAGGACTTCTCCCTTTGCTTTAGAGAAGAAGAGCAAGACCTCGAAGAGATAGTCGTAGAGACAGCTTGCCCTAAGGAAACAAAGTCAAAAAGTCAGATGGTGGTCAGAAAACAGAGCCCTCCCCCTGGTCTCTCACCCCCACCTTTCTCAAAGAAGATGGTAAAAGATTTCAAGAAATGGCAAATGTGTATTCGGCCTATTTCCATGAAAAACTTAATAGGACAATCGGCAAAGAAGAAAAAAACAAGGGAGATTATAAATCTCCTCAAGTCTTGGGAAAACGAATCAGAGGCAGGGGATCAAGAGGAAGAAGAGGAGGTTTTAGAAATAGAGGATCAAGAGGAAGATGTAGAAGATTTAGCGCAGACCGCTTTGGGCACTAATGTGAACTCATGAAGGTTGTCTCATGGAACGTGAGAGGTTTATGAGCATCCTCCAAAAAAACTCTTGTTAAAGACTCTCTCATCAGAGCGGGTCCTGATTTAGTGATCCTACAAGAAACCAAACTGTCATCGATCGATAGGAAAGTCATTAAGGAGATCTGGAGCTCTAGAAGAACGGGGTGGGTTGCCCTAGATGCCGAAGGTTCCGCGGGGCAGTGTTTTCGAGGCGCAAGGCGCACCTCAAGGCGACAAGCCCTTAGATCGCCTTAAGGCGAGAGGCGATAAAAAGGCGACGCCTGAGTGAAGCAAGGCGCACCTTTATTTATATATATATATATATATATATATATAAAATTCCAAAGTTATAAAAGATTAAATAAGATTAAACAGTAAATATATCAAGTAAAATAAAGAAGCGTGTTTTAAAACATTAAAACATTAAAAAAATAATTTAATATTTAAATAAAAGTTCACTTAAATTAACAAATAAAAATTTTAATAATTTAATATTTAAATAAAAGTTCACTTAAATTAACAAATAAAAATTTTAAAAGTTTTTATATCGTAAAACGCAATAGCAATAACCCATTTAAGCTACCATCTGTCTATTAGTCACCATGCATGGCACTAGCACTAGATGTTCTTGAAAATAATACCATGCATGACCCTCATTTAATGCTTCTTGAAAATGTAATTATGGCTTTTGCTTTTCTCCCACTTTTCTTATTTTTCTTCTCTTTGCATCTGAATCTTCTTCTTCCTAATTTTGACACTTCTTTTTCCTTCCACTCTTCTACTTTTCATTCTTCTTTCTTCGACCTTTCATTCTTCTTCCATCCTAATGTTTTTCCTTTTAATTTTGACGATCGACAGAGGCAAATAGTTGCCGGCAAAGATAAAGAAGGTGAACCAAAGACAAAGAAGAAGCTGTCAAGGAGAATTTGGATAATTTTTAGGGTTTTTCA